AAGATGGTATGATCAGCTTGACTCTGAAGAAATCCATAGCTCATGACCACTTTTCCAAACCGTTCAAACCATGCTCTTAGAGACTGCTTCAGTCCATATAAAGATTTCTTTAACCGGCATACTTTGTCCTTCCCAAGGTTAGCTTCAAAACCTGGTGATAAACTCATAAATACTTCTTCTTCGAGATCTCCATTCAAAAAGGCATTTTTTACATCGAGTTGATGAAGAGGCCAGTCTAAATTTGCAGCAAGAGATAAAAGTACTCTAATAGAGCTGATTTTAGCAACAGAAGCAAAAGTTTCCTGATAATCAATCCCATAGGTTTGAGTAAATCCCTTTGCCACTAATCTAGCTTTATACCTTTCAACACTACCATCAGCATTACACTTGATCGTAAAAACCCATTTGCACCCCACAGTTTTCTTATCTCTTGGCAAATCTACTATCTCCCATGTACAATTCTATCTTAGAGCATTCATCTCATCCATAACAGCTAGTTTCCAATTTGGATCATTAAGAGCTTTTTGTATGTTCCTTGGAATGAACAAGTTAGTTATCCTAGACGTAAAAACTTTATGACTACTTGACAGGTTTTGATAAGAGATATAGTTTGCTAGAGGATATTTTGTGCAAGTTCGAGTTCCTTTTCTTAAGGCTATAGGGACGTCAAGATCAGAAATAACAGATGAGATATTTTCAATAGTTGGAGTAACAAGAATAGAAGATAGATTACCTGGAGTGTCAGAATCATCCCTCGAAGTTTCAGATTGGATCTGTGATGAGTCAGCTATCTGGTCTCCATTCGTTTGATTGAGTCTTCTTCTAGTATAAAACTTAAACTCAGGATTTAGATCAATTTGATCATTTTGTAGTAATTCTCCCCCTGAGTTAGAATTTTCTACACTTGGCATTGAAGGACTAGTAAAGTTGGGACTTATAACATTAGGGAGGGGAACAAGTATATCAACAGGTATATCCCAAAAATTATCATCCTTATCCTCTAAATTTAGTTTCTCCTCCTGAAGATAATTTTGGGTAAAAAAAGGTTGACTTTCCAATAAGGATACATCCATACTCACATAAAGTGTTTTGGTTTGAAGATCAAAACATTTATACCCTTTTTTTCTAAAATCATAAACCAAAAAAATGCATTTAATTGCCCTCTGATCTAATTTTGACCGAAAATGACTAGGAATATGCACATAAACAGTACACCCAAAAACTTTGATAGGTAAATCAGAGTTCAAACGAGTTGTTGGAAAATTTTCTTTCAAAACATCAAGAGGAGTTTTAAACTTCAAAACTTTAGTAGGATACAGACTCCTGAACATGTCACTTCTTCTCCCGTACCCAATACAATCGCATAGCCCTTGGTCTCACTGATTGGAAGGCATTGACCTCGAACGAACTCGACATCAATGAAATTGTGGGAAGCACCACTGTCAATTCGGACTACGACCTCTTTCCCCACCACCATTCCCTTCACATTCAGCATTTTCGTCCTTGGAGAATCCAGTCCCACGAAGGAATTTCGTGATAGCATCGCAAATTCCATTCCTTCCTTGTCGGTTGTTTCGCAAATTGTATCGACGGCATCTTGGAATTCGTCGCATGCTGCCTCCACCTCCTCTTGGACCACCAAGACCTGTAGCTCCTTCTTCTTGCATCGGTGCCCTGGGGAATACTTCTTGTCACATCTGTAGCAAAGCCCTTTTCCCTTTTCCCTTTTAATTCTGCATCAGAGAGTCAGCGAAATTGGCCCCCCGTTGAAGACGTGTCACCCCCTTTAGGTCTATTCTCACCGTTTCGAGGAGAATTGGAACGGGTCGAAGTAAAGGCCACGGTCCGACTCGACCCAGACCCGGCTGTTACAGACTTGGACAATATCGCCCCTACCGTAGTGCCCATTTTCTCCTCTTGGGCCGTGAGAGTTGGGCCGACTCCATCTCTATCTTCAATGAATTGGGCCATCTACATAATTTCCTTCAGCCCTTTTGGTTTCATAACACGTACTTCTTTTCTCAACCCTTCCTTCAACCCGTTGACAAACAGACTCTCGAGAAGAAACGTCGGCACGCTATCAACAGTTCCACCAACCTCCTCGAATCTTCGGCAGAAATCCCTCACTGTCGTCTCTTGTCGGACAGCTACGAGGCGATCGCTCAGCGTCCCGTCCATGGTGTGTCAAAATCGCTGCAACAGAGCCTCCCCATCTAAATAGAGAACTGTAGCCTCCAACTTCTCCGCGTCCGTCAACCTGTTAATCACAAAATACCTTGCAACCCGATGCAACCATCCATCCGGGTTTTCGCCTTCAAAAATGGGGCACTTCCAACTTACATAATCGAAGATCAAACACTGGTGCAATCGCATTCGAGAGTAAGTTATACCCCTCGCCTGATGTCGCAACACTGGTCGGAGTTCTCTCCGCCTTCGACACACACTACCAGTCCTTTTCCTTTGTCATCCTTCAGTTTCCCATCGGTGTCCGTTTTCAGGGTCATCGCCGACATCCACGACCTCATCTCTTCCCGGAGCATAGCCATCTCCTTCTTCCACGACTCTCGACTATCCTCGATCGTTGTTACCACTCCCGAAAGCTGCTGTTCCACAGCTTCCACTCTACATTCCATTCTCGTCACCATTCCCAGAACCACCGCTCTGATACCAAAATGATAGGAACTGCCTCTTATTTATGGTATAGAGGGGGAATTACAATGTTTAGGGAGATTTGAGAGCTCCTCCTATCCTTCTCAAGGAAATAATTACTAGCAAAAAGATACCCTCCCCTCCTACAGCTGTATATATAACCAACTCATCACCCAAAACCCATAACTAACTTGGGCCCACAATACAAATATTCCTTTCCCTATTTTCCCTTCTTACCCTTTCTCCTAACATATTTATGAACAATTGGAGGCCTATCAGCTGCATACTAGAAGATTCGGTCCTCAATTTTCTCCCAAAGGGATCAGTTGGCATCCCATCTCCTCCTCAGATCACTCATGGTTGGAAAGGAGGTTTGAGGAATCAGAAGACATAACTATGGTCTGCTTTGAACAATTTAGGCAAAAATAAAGTCCTGGGCCCTGATGGCTTTACTTCTGAATTTCTCATCGAATTTTGGCAACCTGTGAATGCTGATTTCTTGTGTCTTATCGGAATGGGCATATTAACAATTGCCTCAAAGAAAATTTTATTTGGCTCATACCCAAGAAATCTGGAGCCTCGAAAATTCGTGACTTTCGACCTATAAGCCTATCTTCGTCTATTTACAAGGTATTGGCCAAGGTTCTTCTGATTGACTTAAAAAGGTTTTGCCTACAACTATCTCCACGAGTGCGTTTATTGAAGGAAGACAAATTCTTGACCCCATCTTGATTGCTAATGAAGTAGTAGAGGATTATAAAACTCGAAGAAAGAGTGGATGGTTACTCAAGCTCGACCTTGAGAAAGCATTTGACAAGGTAGATTGGGCCTTTTTAGAGGAGTTAATGACTCAAAAACAGTTCGGTAGGCGATGGCAAAACTGGATAAATGGTTGTGTGAAAGGGACAAAATACTCTATTTTTATTAATGGGAGATTGAGAGGTCGTATTATTGCTTCTAGGGGCTTGAGGCAAGGTGACCCTCTCTCACATTTCCTCTTTCTTTCGGTTGGAGATGTACTCAGTAGCATTCTGGACAGTATCCACTTGAGAGGATTATTCGAAGGATTTTTGGTTGGGAGAAATAGGGTCCATGTTTCACACCTTCAATTCGCAGACAATATCCCTATATTCTGCAAGAATGACGACACCATGTTAACAAATTAATTTGACACCATTAAGGCTTTCGAATGGCTCTCGGGTTTTCCAGTTAATTGCCAAAAATCAGCTATCTGTGGAATCCATATTCAGCCCTGATAAGTCCAACAGTTCGCTTCTTCTATGAATTGTCGGGTTGCTTCTCTCCCATTTTTGTATCTTGGCTTACCATCAACTTAAGGATTTAGGTCACATTGATGGTTTATTTATCCTTAACAAGGTATGAGAGTAGGAGGTCCTTTTTTCGAACCCCTGCATTGTTATTTCCTTCCCATTTATAACGATTTCCACGTATTGAATTTTGTTGCAATTTTTCAAGCCCACAAGTGAGGGGTAGTGTTAGAGATATCCATATATGAATTACATTTACCCAACCCATCAGCTTAATTTTTTGGGTTAAGAGGTGGTTTATTCATTCTTAACAAGTCTCTTGTCTTTAATTGTAATTTTATACAATATTAATTTAGGGCTTCCATGTATACTCTAGTATATGAAATGATATTGTTGAAAAACTCAAATGAATTAAATTTACCCAACCCATCAGCTTAAACTTTTGGGTTGAGTGGTGGTTTATTCATCCTTAACAGATATCAAGTATTCTGCCATAATTATCTCACATTGTGTAACATGCATTAAAGTCTTACTTTTGGAAGGTATAATAAAAAATTTTATAAAAAGAATCAAAGAATGTCTTAGGACTTACTTAGAAGGGACACAAAAATTTGGGAGATTCTTCAATACAAGCTTCTCTGCCTAACTCTTTCCACTAAAGCTTTTTTGTAACCATAATTATTTTATGATTTATACAAATTGGAGGGATTTTTTGTAATCATCTTGGCCAGTTATTTAGGTTGATACCTTATAGCAAAACCTTTTAGGGTATTTGACAGAGTAATGGACGTATTTGGTGCACACTAGGACTAATATTCAATTTACTTCTTTCTCTTGGGGTTCTAAACTTTAGATATATTCCTATTTTTTCGAAAATATAGGTCTAAAGGCCTGTATAAATATTTTATAGTTCTTTTTGGCTCGGCATATATTATTCTTGTTTGGCCTTGTAGGATTTTATTTAACTGCCATTGTAACTTCTCTTCATGACTAAATTACCTAGTAGAAATCAAACCTAAAAATTATAATAAATACAAGATATAATATCATTTCCCACGTTGGTAAGCAGCAATTCAACATTACCTTATTGTGAGCAGCTGAGCCACCGTACTGGTGTGCAAGTGTGTCACCCATTCTCTCATAAAATCCCATTAATTCATCGGCCAAAGGGGCATCAAGATCAATTTTGGGGGAATCTATGATTTCCAAGGCATGAAGCTGGTGTCCAAAAGCAGCAAGCCCATATGCATATTGTGCAACATTTGTACGGTCAAGGCAGTCTATGCAATTGGTCCGCAGCACCCCACTCTGGAATATTGGCAGTTTTATAACGCAATTTCCACTAGAAACAAGATTGTCAACACTTATTTGCTTTTCCATGCTAGCCGCATCTTCATTATCATTGTCTGACTGTAACTGAGAAGATAAGCTACAATTTCCTTCACTCCTGTAAGAAGGTTTTCATATAAAGTTCATTATCAGGAAGAGTCGATAAACATACAACTCCAAAGAAGTGACGCCATCACTATCCACACTATATTTGATGTAGTGAGTTATTTTTTTATATATATATTTTGTTTAATTGTATTGACACGTCATTATAATCAATTTTCAATTGTGAATAAAGATTTTCCTTGTGGATTCTTTGAGAGCTTTAAGCTACATCAATTGGTATTAGAGTAAGTGCTTGGCCAACGAAGGTTGTTGCTGATAGAGGCCAGAAAACTCTTGTTGATGCAGATTGTAAGAGGGAGAACAGACACGGAAAAAATTCCCAAGTGTCAGTGTCTAACACCGACATGCTCGGACACGCAACCAACACGTGTCGGACATAAGTGATTGATGGATGGGAGGAAGAAGAAAAGTTGAAAGGCTTCACCACAACCAGCTGAATAATAAAAAGAAACGAGTGTGAAAGTCTAACACCAAGCCAATAAATGATTTCTTGAAGAAAAAGCCAGCTTTGATGTCAAAACTCGCAGCTGTTCTTAAGGAACCTTTTGAATCCTAAAACAAAACCTTTCACATTCTCAAGGACTTAAGTAACTCCAAAGAAGCCAAATCAGAAAACATTTCAAAAAATAACCAGCCAATCAGAACCTGAAGAGCCATTAAACCACACGACTTTCCAATGGGATAAAATTAATCCCAGCTGCCTTTTCTTTTCAAACTTGTAACGACAATAAATACATGCTACCCGTGACCTTTCAACTTCAAAAGACACCATCTAATACTGGAACCAATGGGAATTCGAAGCACCAATGATTTTTCAACTCGAAAAGACACCTTGTAATGCTGAATCCAATAGGAATTCCAAAAGTCACCTGCTGCTTTTTAATGAAAATGTCAAAAACAATGACCTTTCAAATTTTAAAAAATCCCTGCAGCCTTTTTGTTGGAATATATATACGTTAAAATAATCTCTCGTCCCTGTATTTTCAGGTTGAGTTCATTTTGGTCCCTTTACTTTTATAATGTTTATTTTGGTCCTTATACTTTAAAAAATGCTCATTTTAGTCATTGTCATCAAACTACCGTTAATAGAGTAACAAATCGATGATGTGACATTTTCCTTAAAATCAATATGAAATTGTGTTAAATTTAATGGCCTAGATTAAATCCCAAAAATTTTCTTTCCCGGATTTTTTCCCTTTCTTCATGGGGTCCGGCATTTGGGTTTCTTCGAGGTTCAGAGGTTCCCAATTTTTTTGGCATAAGAGAATGGATTGGGAGAAAAACAATCACTAACCTGAGAACCTCTGAAAAATCGAGAACCTCAAAAAACCCTTTGCAGGCCACCATTGAAGCTCCCCTCCTCGAAGCTTCAGAAACCCCTCTGTTACATATGCTGCTGAATGTCCGCATGGGTTTCATTTCGTATTGGGTCAGCCACACACATTCAATCACAAACACTCTCACCTACAGTTTCAATTTCCCAACAATCAACAAAAAGGAAAAACACATTCAATAATCCATAATTTCTTCTTTACCAACCCCTGACGCTGAGTATTCTAAATTGAATATTGTATCAATTCTAAATTGAATATTTGTATCATTGATTTTAGGCAATCCCAATCGTCCACGAGCAGCAAACCAGATCTTGCATCACCAAGAACATTGGAATCTTTCTCTAGTCCAAATAGGAGGAATCCAATCAATCTGAAAACCCTCACCAAATTCTGAAGAACAACCCGCCACGAAGAAGACGCCAAAGACATGAGAAGAAAGAAAAAAACGAGAAAGTATAATTTTTTGGGATTTAAACTGCTTGGTATTACCACGTAATCTCCTACTCATCTTAAGGAAGATGGCACATTATCAATCTGTTACTCTATTAATGGTATGGACCAAAATGAACATTTTTTTAAAGTACAAGGGCCAAAATGAACATCTTCAAAATTGGACCAAAATGGACCAAAATTAACATATTTGCCGGGGTGCAACCTAATTCCGGCAAGCATCCCATCGTGAACCCTAAACCTTAATCCTGTTTTCAGCTGCCGCCGCTAAATTAGTTTAAGGGAATTGATTGTTCCTCTTTTGATTGCGAGAGTTGCATTCTAGCAAAAGATCACCCTTCCACATTGATATGATCATAATTGGCCAAAAACTCCAAGAATCAACAGACATCAACAAGGAGAAGTCAAAGAGGAAAGACCAGCTAAAAGAGGAAACTACATTGGTCCCATCATCAAATTTTGACGATCTTGAAGGACCAAAAGCAACCATCAACAATCAAGAGGAGAAGGGAGATTGAGGAAGAACAAAGGCTAGGCACAAATTTCACAAGGACACGCCCAATGCACGTACATGCCCACATGCACATCAACGCCATTGCATGGCCCTGCGCGCACCTCC